GACTGGGGATTTAGTAAAGATAACTATCTTTCTATTTCCTTCTCTATTTTTTTTCTCATTTCTTTGTCTTCCTTCCCCAAAGATGGCATTCAAGGTTTTCCCTTTGTAGATATTTTTTTCCTTCACATTATTCTTTGAAATCCCTTCAAGTCGATCTATAGACATGTTTAATTTGTTTTACAGTTACACTTACAGTTGTTTACACCACATTATTTACCATATGTACTACCATAGTGTGCAGTACAACACGTCCTTGAATAACATCATTTTATTCAACATGGTTTGATTATAATGTTAATGAGAAAAAAATGGATTCCTATCCAAGCACATAGTCTGGAGTTGACACATTCTCCCTGTGTCTGCCTGAATTTTTTCCGAGTGCTCCAATTTTCTCCCACATTCCAAAGATATGTATGTTAGGCAAATTGGTGTGTCTAAATGGTCCCTGTCTGAGTGAGTGTGGGTATGTGTCTGAATACACCCATTCTGTTGAGGGTTCGTTCCCACCTTGTGCTCTGAGCTGCTAGGATAGGTTCCAACCACTTGCAACCCTTTACTGGAATAAGTCGGTTGGAAAATGAATGAATGAATGAATGAATGCAATTATTGTAAAATAAATATTCATAAAGTAGACAATAATTATACGAATGCATGACAATAAACCATGCAGTACAAAAGCACTCTGTAAGCCACATTTTGTGATTGTTTTTAAATTGCATGATGAGAGGAGATGTTCCTTATAATTTTGTTTTGCTTTTGATTTATTCTTTTGAATAAATCAAGGAATTTATTCCCTGACTTAACTCACCACCACTATGACAACCATCACTCACTGATTAACCACAAATTTGGTAAATAATTACCTTACTTGTTTTTATTATTTTTTCTTAATTCTATGTATAGCTCACATTTGTTTTAGTGTTTAATATTAGAAGTATTTTGGGTCTTTATTTAGAAGTTTGTGATGTTTATGCTACAAAAAATATACTGTAGGAACTTAACTTTTGTTTATGTCAATTAGCCTATGGTAAAATGGGTTTCAGTATATGTCATTTTGCTTAAAGTCACAGTTTCCAAGATTCTTTTAATGTCATTAAGTGAGGACTTACTGTATTTTATACATTATGTGGTTTTAATATTTTGCAATTACATATGTGATATAATAACATTTTACATGTGTATTTTTATTTTTATTTCTGTAAATATGTATTAACTTAAAGTATAAATAACCTAAGGAAACTAGTGACTAATATATATTAGATGCCTAGAAATGTTATGAAATAATGAGCTTCAACATGCAGCCATTAAAAATGTTCTTATAGTATTCATGTCACATCTGGATTTATGGTAATTTACTTACAAATTTGTCAAAATGAGAAAATTTCACTACACAATGATAAGTTTGACATCTAGAGATTTAACAATAGGTCTGTTTTTCCATTAAGAGACTAAATGCATCTTCTTATGTAGCTCACGATGAAGAACCAGGCAAAAATCTTGTGCTTGAGCATCAAGATTCAGTGTCAAAACTTGAAAGGCAAATAAAAAAAACAAAAAAACTCCCCATAGAGAAAAGACATAGTAGTAAGTATAATAATTATAGGTAACTTTAAATTTTAAAAATTAATCTCATTAGATCTTTTTTCTTTGGTTCATGACTATGTAGTTGAGCATACAGTTCAAAGAAGTTTAAAGTCTGAATACCTTAAAATAACTAGGGAACAAAAGCCATATAATATTTGGCTGGAAATTCCAGTCTTGGAATTTTATGGCATGCTTATGTGCTCGGTGTCTACCAGGACCCAATAAAATCATTAATCTGTCAAATGGTGTTTATTTTCAGCCAACTGTAGGAGATTATGGGCCCAACTGTTCAACAGGAACCTTGGGACCTGTGGTGGTATCCTTCTGTCATAAACTCTAATTGGCAAACAGATAGGTTGCTGAGATGTGTAACTCGAATGGCAAAATGTATCAGAGAAGGCAAGGGGAGAAACGACCTGTGCGGTCATTGGAGGGTCTCCAGAGCATTCTATCTTTAGGTAGCACCTAAGGGTAGAGGTCTTCTTGGTAACCTGATAGATGGTTTCATGAAGATACCCATGAATGGAATGTGAGAGCACCAGTCTGGGCTTTCCTTTTATTTTTTGGGGCTGAGAGTGACTAAAGCTTGGCAATTGTCTCCTCTGGAGTGAAACATACCATCTCTTCCCAGTTTATTTACAGGAATTTCACATGGGTCTTAGGTCCTTATACCTTGTCTGTATTAATGGCTCAGCCATGTTGCCACCTGTGGGTCAGCATAGCATCTAGCCCTTGGTGGGTGGTGTTTTTGTCTGGGCCTGGTGGAGGATGTGATGAATATAGTGGAAGGCTAATACTTCATCTGGGAGTGGAAGGAAGGAAGCCTTGAAGGACATTAAAGGTGTAATGAAGCCCATTTAATGTAAGACAGACTGATCTTGATCATCTTTGTGGACAAGGATGCCAGAAAGGACATTTACAATGTCAATTGCTTTATAACTATTTCCCTCAGCATGGGTAGTAGCCTCTATGATAGTCATAAAGCCAGGTAACAACAGTGTCAAAGACAGAACTATGAGATTGAGCCACCATTAGTCGATTAAGTTTCCAGGTACACAGTGCCTTAAGCAAAGGCCAGATGGTGAACTTTGCCTTCCTTAGGCACAGAAATGAAGACTTTTTAATCCCCAAGACAGTTGATAGTGTTTTTAAGAGACAAAGACACTAGGTTATAATAGTCTGGCAGGTTTAGTCTTCCATATTCCCCCACTAAAATGGTCCTAATTGCAACAATTCCCCTCAGGGATTGGGGGTGAATACAGAAAGGGGTAGACATAGACAATACGTCTTAACAATAACCCATTCAATAATGGGTGCCATAATAATGGAAGTATATAGTGGCTTGAAGAGAACTACCTGTAGTCAGATCAGGATTTTGGTGGTGGTGGCTTCTCACTGAAAACCAGAGAACATTATCTATTTTCTCCTAATTCTCATGCCAGGGATTTTGGGGATCACAGTCACCTGTGCACTATTATGCAAAAGGCCCAAGAAATGAAATTTTCCATGTTCACTTTGAACTTTAACTTTGATATATGGCCTCCATTCCTCACCAGGGACATAGGGACATTGGCCATGTCATAGTCTTTTTTTTTTGGCCAAATTCACTGGGAGAAGAGGAGAACAGCATTTGTATTATTCATAGGGGCCAGCACCAGGCAGACCCGAGGAGGCTGCCCTTGTGCCCATGATGGCACACTACCACCAGGCCATGAGTTCCCTGGTGAAGAGCCCATTAATCTTCTTTTATAAGTCCTTATTGTTGGGTAACCAAACCCAGAGATCTCTTTGGTGAGGCCCTTACCCAGATCATTGAGGAGTGTGTGCCCAGTGACTATTTTTATGCTGCTGTCTCTCATGGAGTCTCTGCTTTTTTGTAGCAGCCGCTTTTTCCATGCTGAGGAATTTGTCATGTTTAGACTGTTGCTTGCACTATCACAGTAAGTGAATAAAATTATGATCTAGATCAGTGGTCCTCAACATTTTTGGCACCAGAGAAAGTGAACAAAATTTGAGCAAAAATTGTTTCATGGAAGACAGTTTTTCTATGGACCAGGGCTGAGGTGGGGGATAGTTTTGGTATGATTCAAGTGCATTACATTTATTGTGCATATTTATATTATTACTTATATTTATATTCTTACTTTGTAATATGTAATGAAATAAGTATACAACTCACTATAATGTAGAATCAGTGGGAGCCCTGAGTTTGTTTTCCTGGAACTAGACAGTCCCATGTGAGGCTGATGGAAGACCATGACAGATCATCAGGCATTAATTCTCATAAAGAACACACAACCTAGATCTTTCACATGTGCAGTTCACAACAGGGTTTCTGTTCCTGTGAAAATCTAATGCCGCTGCTGATCTGACAGGAGGCGGAGCTCAGGAAGTAATTAATGTGAGTGATGGGGAGCAGCTGAAAATACAGAGGACTCTGCACTCATCCAGTGCTCGCCTACTGCTGTGTGACCCGTTTCCTAACAGACTACAGACCAGTAATGGTTCGTGGCCTTGGGGTTGGGGACACCGATCTAGATTATTTTGCTGAGCAATTTGCCTAACCTTAGAGGAGGTTTAATTTTAATTTGGCTCCATAACCAGTAGGAGTGACACGAATAAATCTGAGTCTTATTAAAAATCTTACCATTGACTGTTCTCACTCTCATCATTGATTGCTCTCACTCTCAAGCAAGTGACCACGAGACCACCAGTATTGTTTGCAGGGCTGTATAGCCTCTGCAACCATGGTCTAAAAATGTATTTTAGTCATAGGGAAGATAGCATGAATGTGCCGAAGTTGTCGGAACCCAAATAGAACCCAGTTGAAAAAGATGGGCTTGGGTGCTCCCTTCTCATTCTCCCACTTTGCTTATCCTCCTTGAGCAAAACCTCTGCTGTCATGGCACTCTAAAGGATGGGTTCTAGAGTGACACAACCCACAAGGTAGCACTAAGTTAGTTTAACAGGATTATTTTTTTCATCATGCAGGCAAACAACCCATGCCTCTAAGGTCTTCTCTTAGGTCACAAAGGAAAACAATCCCAAAGGGCTCTCCATTCTTTCTATTTAAACCATGATTGTCAATTCCTTGCTGGGTCATAGGCTGTCTGTCATTGCCTGATACCTCTCTGGAACTAACAGCAGTTATTGCTGCAAATTAGCTCACAGGTTCTCTGAAAACTTTCCGTCTCATCTCCAGGGGACAATAGCAGTGGCCAAGGAAATGCTTCTCTAACTTTCTCAGAGGCGCTCTGTTGGATCTCTAATTTGACCTACCATGCATCTTGGCCTGAGAGTCTAGGGCTAAAGAGAAGGACCACTGGTGTCCCTTAGAACCCAAAAGCTATGTAAACAATCTGCTACCACTTTCTGAGAGTGCCCCATGATGTTAGCAGAATTTTCCAAGACCCACTGATAGGGCTGGCAGAGTGCATCATGGGACAGACTCTTGCAAATGATCCACTAGTATCCCCCAAGAGGTCTCATGAACTCTAGCATCTCCCACAAATGTCCTGGGGATCTGCATGCTTTTTGCTTTTCCAGAAATGCATTGTGTTTAATTGCCCACCCTGCTCACAACCCTTTGTCACCAAGAGAGCTGCCAAGTGTGAAGGTGATCAATTAAGAGAACAAGCCAAGTTGAAAGTAACAAACCTTTATTCACTTACTGCAACAACATAAGCAAGAGTCTAAACATGAAAGGTCACTGACTCTTATCAATGTTTCATTTTCCCACAAAATGACATTGGGCAAGGACAGGATGTATCGGCACAGATGGGAGGAGAACTTCTTACTGTATGTACAGCCATGTGTACCATATCATTTACCATATATGTTCATGTACACATATGCCACAATTGATATTATATCATTGTAGTATACGTGTACATGTATATATACGTGTGTGTGTGCATGTGTGTGTGTGTATCTGTTAGTCAGTCTCCTACGCTTGAAAATATCAATGGATTTGGATAGTTTGCAATTACAAATAACACTGTAATGAATGACCTTGAGCATATGCATTTTCATTGTTTGGTCTCTGATTATGTATTAACCTAAGATATAGATAAGGAAAGTAGAGATTAATATAAAACACGTTTAATACCTAGGAATATTTATGAAATAATAATACATCTTCAACACACATTGAAACTTTCCTCATCATTTTCATGTCAGATCTAGCATTAAGGTAGTTTACTTACAACTTTATGAGAGGAAATGTTGCTTCCACTTGTTAGAAATTTGAAATCTAGTATTTCATAGTAAATTTATTTGTCTGGTAAGGGACTAAATTTCTATCTTAACATAGCTCATGATGAAGAATCTGGTGAAAATCCTATGCTTAAAAATCAAGATTCAGTGTCAAAAATCCAGGTGCAATTGGAGAAAGAAGAAACTTCTAGAGAAGGATGTAGTAGTAAGTATAATGATGATAGCTATTTTATATTATTGTAAATTAATCTCAACTTTTTTCTTTGGTTCATACTTATGTATTTGAGTACATATTTTATAGAAAACTTATATTCTAAGTATTGAGTACATATATTTTATAGACTTATACTCTAAGCTAAACTCTAACATAACTCAAGAACAAAAACAAAGATATTGATATGTTTTGGTCAGAATTTCTTGTCATAATGTCATTATGCAACTTAGTTTATGTTCTCAGTATCCATCTTAGGACAATAATTGTCTCATGAAAGATGGGTGCCTTTCAGCTGACTCTGGCCATCTATGGGCACCTCTGATCTGTGGTAGTTCCAATCAGCAGGCAGAGGTATTGCTGAGACCTGTAACTGAAGCAGCAAATGGAAATCAGATAGGTTCTGGAAAAGGGCAGCCAGGGTGGCCAATAGAAGGATTTCCAGGGTATCATGTTGGTCAGAGCCCCACTCAAAGGTAGTAGTCTTTATGGTAACCTGATAGAGGTTGCTGTCCGGTCTCTGTGGCTTGAATGTGAACTTGGCAGCAAATCAATGGTCCCACCGATTGCTCACATTATTTTTACTTCTGGAGTCAAAGCTGGCCAAAAGCATGACAGTCATCATCTCTGGAATGGAACACCATAGCCCTTACAAATTACCCTGGAATTTTACTTGGGCTTTAGGTCCTTGTGCCTTGTCTGGTGATAATGGCATAGTACATGCTGCATGTAAGTGAACAGAGCATCTGATTCCTATTGGGTAGTATCCTTGTCTGCAAGTGACTTTAGGAGGCTGCCTAGGATGATTTAATGAACGGTGTGGAAGGCTAATGCCTCTTCCAGGAGTAGAGTGTTGTCCAGGTTTTAACCTACGCATTGATTACAGACAGCTGGGGAACTTTGGAAGCCTTCTGGAAAGATAGTAGTGGCGTATTGCGACCTATCCTACATAAGGCTAACTAATCCTGATCATCCTCATGGAGAGGAATGCTGAAAAGATATTTGCTTTGTCAATTGGTACATATCAAGTTCCTTCATCCTGAACAACAGCCTTTGTAACTGTCACAATGTCAGGTACCACTGGTGCCAAAGGCAGCACTTAACGTTTTTTAGAGCCCCTATCAGTGTAGGGTTTAGGCACCTGAGGTCTTTCACATAGGCCAGATGGGTCTATTGAATGTAGAAATAGTGTACAAATAATTGGCCTCTTAAAGCTCAGCAATGAGGGAAATTATTTCCTTTTTTATCCCCAGAGTGTTAATACTGGTTTTGGTAGACATTGGTACTAGGTGCCAGTAGTTTAGCAGGTCATGATCTTCCATATATCCCACAAAAATATCTGGACTGCAGCAAATCCGATCAGGAGGTGGGTGTAAATGCTAGTGTTGGTTCATATAGAAAATATATTTAACCAGTAATATATTCACTAGTAGAGGCCATGACAATACAGGTTTGTAGTGGTCCAAAGGGCACCCATTGTTGGTTTAGAAAGAGGTCCTGTTGGTGGTGACCTAAGATTAAAAACTAGAAAGAATTATTTGTTTCCTCCTCATCCTCATGTCAGGGATTGTGGAGATCACAGTAATTTGTTAACCAGTAACCAAAAGGCCCAAGAAATGTCATTATTTTCCCACCCCCACTTCGAAGTTTGACCTAGATGACAGGTCAGACTTCTTTCAGGAGTGAAACTTTGTCCAGGTTGTAACCTATGCATTGATTAGCTGGGGAACTTTGGAAGCCAGGTCCAAAGTATCCTTGTCTGCAAGTGACTTTAGGAGACTGCCTAGGATGATTTAATAAACATTGTGGAAGTCTAATGCCTCTTCCAGGAGTAGAATGTTGTCCAGGTTTTAACCTACGCATTGATTACAGATAGCTGGGGAACTTTGGAAGCTAGAACAAAGGAACTTTGGGTCCTCAGGTCCCCACTGGGGACGTAGAGACCTTGTCCTAGCCCCTAGTTATGTTCATTTATGAAAGATGAGAGATCAGGGTAAAATTTGAAAGGATCTGTATGTTAGACCCTACAATGTGTCCCTCTAAATTTGATAAGATTGCTTTCTTCATCAAGGACGCAAGCTACTCAAGTCTCAAGATTGACTGAGAGAGTTAGAGAAAATAGCACTCATACTGTTCATAATGGACATCACCATATGGACCGTAGTGCCTGGTGGCTCACTATCTGTTGGAGGGCCCATCAATCATATTCCTTTGAGACCCTGTTGTCTGGTGACCAATCTCATAGATCTCCTCTAGAAGACCATCACATAGATTGAGCAGCAGAGGACACTTGATTGCCATTTTTATACCACTCTATTGGCCAGTGTTTGCTATGTGGGCAGCAGCCATGTTTTCCATGCTGAAAGTTTACCAGTTAACATCTGGACTATATCTGATTGATATGACCTTATGAGGAGGCTTGATAACCAGCAGAATTGAAGCAAATGAACCTAGAAATCTGAGTTTGGTCAACAATCTTATCATCTGTTGTTTTTGTTCTCATTGTGCTACCAAGGGACTACCAGCGTGGCTGGCCAGGATACTGTAAGAAGCCCTTTGTTGGTTCTCAAATTTGAATCAATGTGGGAGCTTGGATAGAAAACTAGGGGCTATATTCCCAGGCAAGATGGCTGAATAGGAATAGCTCCAGTCTGCAGCTCCCAGTGAGACCAGTGCAGAAGGCAGGTGATTTCTGCATTTCCAATTAAGGTACCCAGTTCATCTAACTGGGACTGGTTAGACAGTAGGTGCAGCTCACAGAAGGTGAGCAGAAGGAGGTGGGGTATCACCTCACCCAGGAAACTTAAGGGGTCAGGGAACTCCCTCCCCTAGCTAAAGGAAGCCATGAGGGACTATGCTGTGAGGGACAGTGCTATCTGGCCCAGACACTACGCTTTTCTCATGGTCTTGGCAACCTGCAGACTAGGAGATTCCCTCTGGTGCCTACACCACCAGGGACCTAGGTTCCAAGCACAGAACTGGGTAGCTGTTTAGGTAGACACCGAGTTAACTGCAGTAGTTTTTTTCTTTTGATTGAGTTTCGCTCTTGTCACCCAGGCTGGAGTGCAGTGGTACTCACTGTAATGTTGACTCCCTGCAACTTCCACCTTCCAAGTTTAAGTGATTCTCTTGCCTCAGCCTCCTGAGTAGCTGGGATTACAAGTACACATCCCCACACCTGACATATTTTTGTATTTTTAGTAGAAATGGGTTTCACCATGTTGGCCAGGCTGGTCTCAAACTCCTGACCTTGTGAATCACCCGCCTCAGCCTCCCAAAGTGCTGGGATTACAGACATGAACCACCATACCTGGCTAACTACAGGAGTTTTTTTTGTATCCTAGTGGCATGTGGAAGAGCAGCAAGACAGAACTATTCATTGCCGAGGAAGGGGGCTAAAGCCAGGGAGCCTAGTGATCTTGCTCTGTGGATCCCACCCTCACAGAGGCCAACAAGCTAAGATCCACTGGCTTAAAATTCTTGATGCCAGCACAGCAGCCTGAAGTCAGCCTGGGATACTCGAGCTTGGTGTGGGGGAGGGGCATCTACTATTACTGAGGCTTGAGTAGGCAGTTTTCGCCTCACAGTATAAACAAAGCCAGCAGGGAGTTCAAACTGGGTGCAGAACCCACCGGAGCACGGCAAAGCCACTGTAGCTAGGCTGGCTCTCCAGATTCCTCCCCTCTGGACAGGGCATTTCTGAAAGAAAGGCAGCAGCCCCATGAGGGGCTTATAAATAAAATTCCCATCTCCCTGGGACAGACCACCTGGGGGAGGAGGCAGCTGTGGGCACAGCTTCAGCTGGCTTAAACATTTCTCCCTGCTGGGTCCGAAGAGAGCAGCAGATCTCCCAGCACAGTACTTGAGCTCTGCTAAGGGCTTGAGGACCTACTGCCTCCTCAAGTGGGTCCCTGATGCCCATGCCTCCTGACGGGGAGACACCTCCTAGCAGGGATTGACAGACACCTCCTACAGGAGAGCTCCAGTTGGCATCTGGTAGGTGCCTCTCTGGGATGAAGCTTTCCAGAGGAAAAAGCAGGCAGCAATCTTGGCTGTTCTGCAGCCTCTGCTGGTGATACCCAGGTAAACAAGATCTGGAATGGACCTTCAGCAAATATCAGCAGACCTGCAGAAGAGGAGATGGTTAGAAGGAAAACAAACAGAAAGCAATAGCATCAACATCACCAAAATGGATGCCTGTGCAAAAAAACCCATCCAAAGGTCACCAATATCAAAGACCAAATGTAGATAAATACATGAAGATGTGGAAAAAACAGTGCAAAAAGGCTGAAAATTACAAAAACCACAACATCTCTTCTCCTCCAAAGGATTACAACACCTTGCCAGCAAGTGAGCAAAACTGGATGAAGAATGAATTTGACGAACTGACAGAAGTGGGCTTCAGAAGGTGGGTGATAACAAACTCCTTGGAGCTAAAGGAGCATGTTCTAACCCAATGCAAGGAAGCTAAAAACCTTGATAAAAGGTTATAGAAACTGCTAACTAGAATAACCTGTATAGAGAAGAACATAAATGACCTGATGGAGCTGAAAAACACAGCACGAGAACTTCGTGAAGCATACACAAGCATGGATAGCAGAATCAATCAAGCAGAAGAAAGGATATCAGAGATTGAATATCAACTTAAGAAATAAAGCACAAAGAAAATATCAGAGAAAACAGAATGAAAACGAATGAATAAAGCCTCCAAGAAATATGGGACTATGTGAAAAGACCAAACTTAACAATTCATTGGTGTACCTGAAAGAGACAGGTAGAATGGAACCAGATTGGAAAACACTCTTCAGGATATTATCCAGGAAAACTTCCCCAACTTAGCAAGAGGGGCCAACATTCAAATTCAGATGATACAGAGAACACCACAAAGATGCTCCTTGAGAAGAGCAACCCCAAGACACATAATTGTCAGATTCACCAAGGTTGAAACAAAGGAAAAAATGTTAAGGACAGCCAGAGAAAAAGGTCAGGTTACC